AATAAGAACAATTCTAAATCATTGTATTTAATATTTTCCTTTAATAAAAGATTAATTTAAGATAAGTATGCTGAAATTCATGATAGAAATCATTGAATAAAAATGAGCCACCTGACAAAGTACAGCTATTCATCAAAAGGACCTAGGCAGGTGTGTGGCCTCCATGCCTATATCCCCTAAGCACTCTGGGAAGGTCAAGGCGGGCGGATTCTTGAGTCAGGGAGTTCGAAACAGCCTGAGCAATACCAGTCTCTACTAAAAAAAGAAAGAAATTAATTGACCACAAAAAATAATATATAACAAAATATTAAGCCCGGCATGCGGGTGGTGCATGCCCGAGTCCCAGCTACTTGGAGGCTGAGGCAGGAAGATCACTTGAGCCAGGAGACTGAGGTTGCTGTTAGCTAGCCTGACCCACAAGCGCACTCACTCACCTGGCAACAAGTGAACTCCTGTCTCCAAAAAAAAAAAAAAAAAAAAAAAAAAAAAAAATCAAAAGGACCTATGGACAAAAAAAAAAAAAAAAAAAAAAAACCAAAAGGACCTAGGAAGCTATGTTGGCTCTTAACAAATTCCTCTCTACAAGGCTAATAATGAGTAACTAATTTACTAAATACTAACCATGTGCCAGGTATCATGCTAAAGTGCTTTACACACATTATCCATTTAGTCCTCAAAACAACTCTCTTAACAACAAATATTTTTTAGAAAACGCTTAAAGTTAAGCTTAGACATGAAATCTTAAAAAAAAAAAACAAACAAAAAAAAGAAAACGCTTAAAGTGATTAAGTAACTTATCAAGGTCATATAGCTAAGTAGTAGCAGAACTGGCATCTGAATCCTGGTTTCTGGTCCCAAACCCACCATTCTCATCCATTACCCTCTACTCACTGTGTGTTGTAACATATCTCAAAAATTGATGTAGAGCACCAAATAAACATCTACCTTTCTCCAAACCTTTTCTAGAGTAAGTGCAACAAATCTTTGGATTTCAAAGATTTTTGGATAATATAAGGTATATGATACACAAACTAAAACAAATGTAACAATCTTTTTTCAAAGAATGCTGATAGATATTAGGGGAAAGAGACTCTGTAGTCAGGTGATCTGTAAACTCCTGGATAAAGTACTGCTTTTTTTCACTGCAGGACACCTCTAGACTTTTAATAAGCCAACATTTATTGTAAATCTCTTAAAGCAGAATATAGCATACAAAACTTCTTTGCTCATCTTACAGAACCACTAGTGTTCCAGGTAAAATTTTTGGTACTGTAAATAGAAGTAAGCTGACTGAATTTAGAAAAGTTTAAGTACAACTATTACAAAATTTTGAGGGCAAAAATTAAGGCTCATCATAACCTAATTAAAGTATTAATAACCTACAATATAACCATAATAAAGGGTAAATTCAAGATTTCATGATATCTGTTCTCTTAAGTCACCACTAAATTACCAAATCCAATGTTTTTTCTTAGAACTTTAAAGATTAAAGTATTTTATAAACATAATTTTTATTCAATAATGCTTATTTTATGATTTTAAAATAATACATGACCAGTGTAGAAAAAAACTTTAAAAAATTGTTCAATATATATAACCAAAGATAACCACTTATAAATTATGGAGCCCTTTCCTGTTAATCTATTACCTCAGTTTTAAAATGTTTACTGTTACTTTACTACCGATTATTCTCAGAATAAAATAATCTAGAAAGAGAGAAAAAAATCTTGCCACTTAGAGTAGTTAATTTTAGTATTTATTCTTTTATTCTTGATTTTTTTCTAAATTAAATTAATGCAGTATGTATTTATTGAGTACCTACAACTTGCCAGATATTGTGCTAAGAACTGGGTTGCAACTTAGTTAAAATAGATATGGTCTCTGTCTTTCTAAGGCTTATAATCCAGAGTGGAAGACATTAAGCATGTTACCATTAAGAAAGAAAAAAAAATTTCCAACTGCAACAGGTGCCAAGTTCCATGTCTAAATTAAAGGAGTTTATATGGTTTTATATTTTACTTTTCAAATTATATTGTGGTCATTTTCCTATGTTATTAAATTCCTTGAAAACTTGATTGTTCATGGCTATATAATATTTTTTGTATGGACATTCTGTTTCATAAACATTAAAAATATGATTTATCTTAATTTGTTGCACAAAGATCGAAACTATAAGTTTAAATCTCTACTTGGATATATTCAACAACAAACCAGAATAACTGATTCATTCTCAAAATTATATCAACACTGATGAATATCTTTTATGTAAATCTTTGAGTACATCTCTAAATAATTCCTTAGAATTGGCTTCCTGAAGCAAAATTATTGGTCCAAGAGATATAAAAAATTTTAAAGTATTTGAAATATACAACCAAATTGTTATATAATTTAGTATTAAACAAAATAAATAATTATTTCTTTTAGCAGTTAACCCTTAATTCATTTAATCATCACAGAAACATTATGAGGTAGTTTCTATTACTATTCCTATTTCAGAGATGAGGAAACAAACAGATTTAACAACTTGCCCAGTATTACACAGGATTTAGAACTGGGAAGTTTGGCTATAGAACTTTCCTCTTAACATAAGTGCTATAAAGTTTCTTGGATACAAAAATTTCTTAGATCCCAGTCAGTTACCAAGCATCACATGGTTGCCTGAGTGGAAAAATTATGTTGATAACCTACTGGCTTTCAGACATCTAACTGTTGGCCAATCAAGAACAGCAAAACACTAGAAAATGAAAAGTAGCCCTTTTGTTCTACCATAGAGCCTTTATATTCTATACATAGTAAGCATTCAACTTTGATGATTTTTTCTGATAATGAACATAACATGATTACAAAAGTTAAATCACCCAATTTTGCTACCTAGAGATAACCACTGTAAATATTTTGATGTATTTCTTTATATCATTTTTTCAATGTATCTATAAACACAAGAAAAAAAAAAGTTTGAATGTTACATGTACAAGGTTTTTTTGGTGCCTGCTAAAGAAAATATGTTCTTTTTTTATTTCTATGTTGTATTTTTTCCTATATTTTTTAAAGATGTATTTCATTTGGGTAGCATAGTTGACTGTATGGATGGATGTGTTATTTAATCATGCCCATATTGCTGGATACTTTGTTTCAGTAATTTTTTACTGTAACATGCTTTGATGAATGCTCTTAACATACATCTGACTGAAGATTGATTTCCTCAGGGCTAGAAGCTGGGAGTTCTGAACCAAACAATATTTTTAAGACTCCTGACAAGCTGCCACTGACCTGGAACAATGTGCTAAACTAATACTTTCATAAATAACCCTCTCTTGAATTGGGTCTTCTTAGTTAATAATGATACTGTCATTCTACTCCACTTTTCCATGCAATTCCTTTACTGGCTTGTATTTCTGTGAGAGTCAACCACCAACTGGACAAATATTTACTGAGTACTTACTTTGTGCCAGGTGCTGTGCTTGGCACTATGAGTATGTCAGGCAAAAGGAGATCCAAATATACCCATAACAAGGCAAATAACAAAGGTGTTTTTGCTATGTTGCCCCATCTCTTTCCTACAGCCACTCCTCTCTTCCAACGAATTTTTTTTTTTTTTTTTTTTTTTTTTGAGACAGAGTCTCGCTTTGTTGTCCAGGCTAGAGTGAGTGCCGTGGCGTCAGCCTAGCTCACAGCAACCTCAAACTCCTGGGCTCAAGTGATCCTTCTGCCTCAGCCTCCCAAGCAGCTGGGACTACAGGCATGCGCCACCATGCCCGGCTAATTTTTTATATATATATCAGTTGGCCAATTAATTTCCTTCTATTTATAGTAGAGACGGGGTCTCGCTCTTGCTCAGGCTGGTTTTGAACTCCTGACCTTGAGCAATCCGCCCGCCTCGGCCTCCCAAGAGCTAGGATTACAGGCGTGAGCCACAGCGCCCGGCCGAATTTTTTTTTTTTATGAGAAACTTTAATTTTGAGAGTATGAATTAAACTGGACTTAGGAGTACTGAAATGTATGGAAAAAATTAAAATGATCTGGCACCTAAAAAACTGCAACAGTGCTTACTTACCAGAAAGGCATTGGATAGGCAAAACGTTCTCTCAGATCAACATTCATAAAAGGAACATATTCTATACCATTTATTTTTGATGTTGTCCTATAAAACATAAGAAAAAAAAAACACCTAAAGTAAACATTCCAAGTCTATCCCAATTTCCAATCTTAAACTCTTTAAAATTTCAATGACAAGATATGGTACTGTATTAAAATTAAACTGACAACCTCACACTGTAGATATCTTTATTTGCATAAAATTTTCATAAGTAATTAAATACCAGATAATAATTGATTCAGTCCAACTCAGTAAGAGTATTCTTTTAAAACAAACATCCCTCACAACAAAACGCTCATCTCACGGTAGGCCTATTCTAGAGGTAATGAAAGAGTCCAGGACACAAAGCCAATTCTATACTAAGCCCCAAATTTAAAAAACATGACATTTACAACTAAAAAATATCTTTGTATTTTCCAGTTAGGGTAGTGAAAGGAAGAAGTGTCACAGATAGATATCAGCTATGGTCTGTTGACAAATTAATGAAATGAGGTTTGTGGTAGCCATGTATATTTTCTCCTTGTTTCGTGTATGTTTATTTGTACATATGAACTATTTACTTCTCGTATCTGTTTATTTTATTTACAAGAAGTTGCAGGGTAACTTCACAATTTAGTCTTTAGTTAATAATATTCAGTGAACTTTAGGACTAATTAAAAAACACAGTCAGCAACTGATACAATGACTGCTGGGAGTATTGTACCCTCATTTTAAGGAGATGATGAAAATTTTTCACTTGTATGAAGGATAAATGCATTTTGTTAGGTGGAAAACGAGAGTTGTATTGTTGTAGTATGTAATTTCTAACGTATGTAGAAGAGAGCATATGGATTCTGAGTAGCCAAAGTGTTGGATTTTATAAATTGAATGTCTCTCAGCTCCAAAATTACTTTCTTTGTCCTATTTTGTGTTGTGTTGGTTCATATGCAATTTTTCCTAGGCAAAGGGAGTCAAATTTGTAGAATTAAAATCTTCAGCAGGAAAAATGCTCTCAGATGACTACTACCTAGGAAGGAGCCCTTTCAGTTCAATTTTATAAAATGAAAAACGAGCACCTACATGACTTACATAGATCTAACCAGGCTGAACTTCCTCCAGTGTCCAACTTAAGAACAGCCACACTGACTCAGAGATTTATCCTATTTACACTGGTTCAGAAGGCCATCAAGGATTTCCACATTATTGTGTTTTACATTTTTTTTTTTTTTTTTTGAGACAGAGTCTCGCTTTGTTGTCCAGGCTAGAGTGAGTGCCGTGGCGTCAGCCTAACTCACAGCAACCTCAAACTCCTGGGCTCCAGTGATCCTTCTGCCTCAGCCTCCCGAGTAGCTGGGACTACAGGCATGCGCCACTATGCCCGGCTAATTTTTTATATATATATCAGTTGGCCAATTAATTTCTTTCTATTTATAGTAGAGACGGGGTCTCGCTCTTGCTCAGGCTGGTTTTGAACTCCTGACCTTGAGCAATCCGCCCGC